CGCGGTGATTCACGGCTCGGATCTGGGCGCTGATTTCTTTGACGTCCGCGGTAAAAAGTGGACTTCCGTCCGTGAGTCTTCTCTATCCACACAGATTTGAGCAGATTTGTTTACGTTTTACAGAAACAAAACTTAAAACCACATGACTCATTTGCATAAACTGAGTACTCAAAAAAAACAGTTCTTTCCTTGTGTCACTGATGTGGTTCAGTTTCTGTCGGACTAAAGGACACAGTGACTCAGTGGAATATGAGTGTTCTGTCTGTGACAGAGGGGTGTTCTGCTGATGGTGAGTCTGTTCTGTGTTTCTGTCCTGATGTTTTCAGATCGTACATGCGCAGGTTTAGTGCAGATCTTCATGTTGCAGTGACCGCGCTGCCAGAGCCCAAACGTGGGACTGAGGCCACAACTCCAGAGTTTGTGTCAGACGCAGCTTCGTCTCTACGCACAGAAACAAACATTCAGTTTGTTGATTAGAAATTAACATAATCGACGAAATTCTTAATGATCAATTATCGATTAGTCTAAAGCATAGAGAACATAGATACATAGATATAACACATAAAGTTAATTTTTTTTTCTGTAATAATATGGAAAATAAATGTCATGCAGATTTTACTTGTGTTCGAAAAAGAAGTGGGAGGAAGTAAATACTTAAGACAAAGACTAAAATCACTTTTAAGGGCAATTTTGTTACAGAGATTTAATAATCCATTTTGTTTTTATTATTTTTTATTACCTTTGTTTTGAAATTACTGGTGTTTTCTTCTTCATGATCCATTGAAAATAATTTTTGAAGTGTGCAATTTAAGGGATTATGTATTATGTGTCGACTTTACTCCAACCTCTACAGAACAGTGTGATTTACCTGTTGTGTTATAAATAGTTTGTTGTCAATATACCTGGATTCAACATGCAAATGGTTTGAAAAATTTGAAAAATGTTTTTAACTCTCACGTGTCTTGGGTTCGTAGCCCCTATAAATGGTCACAACTGCTGCTCACTCAACTATCCCTGATGAAGATCAAGTAGTCGAAACACGTTGGCGTAACTTTTAATAAATTCACCGCAAATCAGAGCCGCTGCCATTATTTTTCTACTTCACGAGAATCCAGCCCTAAGGTTTGATGTATGTGTACGTTTTTTTGATCCAGTGTAGAGCTCCAATTTTGTTATTTCTAATCCATTTTATTTATTTATTTATTTATTTTTTGTTGTGTTTGGTTCAACAATGGTTTATTCAAGTGCATTTTTTTTTTGAGACAGACACATTAGAACATTAGACTGTTTTTATGTGAACAGGTGTGTGTTTTTATTTAGGCCTGTTGTTTTTGTTTGTCTTTCAGTTTCTGTGTTAAATGTTCTTTAGAAAGTAAAGTTTACTGATCTTTGAAAGGAAGTGTTTGCATTTTTATTCCACGGTTGAAATTGGTCTCATAATGTCAATATTATCGTTTATCGCAATAAATTCTTGGTCAATTAATCGTCCAGCAGAGTCTGTTAGAAATGAGGTCCTGTGTCCAACATTCGGGCCTGTCCCTTTAACCCGGAGACGGTGACGGACGCCTCTCAGTGGTCCTCTGTGGTCCTCAGTGGTCCTCTGTGGTCCTCAGTGGTCCTCAGTGGTCCTCAGTGGTCCTCTGTGGTCCTCTGTGGTCCTCAGTGGTCCTCTGTGGTTTTTTTTTCTCTGTTCCCTCGGCTGTGATGAGGGGAGAGAGTTTAAACGCCGCTGTGACCCTGAAGAGCCAAACCCGCTCTGATTCATGAGGATAAAAAAACCCTCTTTATTTCTCTGTTTTCTGACTGTGGGCGACAGATGAGATTAGAGCGAGAAGCTCCGGACTTTTTCATTTAAATAAAGTGAAGCCTGTGCTGCGCTGAGAGAACATCCATCTGACCCGACACATCCAGACCAGACCAGACGAGAAGAGAAAAGAGAAGAGAGAAAAGAGAAAAGAGAAAGAGAAAGAGAAAAGAGAAAGAGAAAAGAGAAAGAGAAAAGAGAAAAGAGAAAGAGAAGAGAGAAAGAGAGGTCCATGTTTCACACTGATGGAAGACCTGACTCTGCACCAGGATCACACACTAACATGGACTATTACACACACTAGCATGGACTATTACACACACTATAACACACTAACATGGACTGTTACACACTATTACACACACTATAACACACTAACATGGACTGTTACACACTATTACACACACTATAACACACTAACATGGACTGTTACACACTATTACACACACTAGCATGGACTATTACACACACTATTACACACACTAACATGGACTATGACATACTATTACACACTGTTATACACTGTCACACACGCTATCATGGACTATTACACACTACTACACACACTGTCACACACACTATTACACACACTATAACATACTATTACACACTATCACATACTCTATTACACACTATTACACACTATCACACACAGTACTACACACTATTAAACACTATTGCACACTGTCACACACACAATTACACACTGTTATGCACTGTCACACACTATCATGAACTATTACACACACTGGCATGGACTATTACACACACTATCATGGACTATTGCACACACTATCATGGACTATTACACACACTATCATGGACTATTACACACACTAACATGGACTATTACACACACTATCATGGACTATTACACACACTAACATGGACTATTACACACACTAGCATGGACTATTACACACACTATTACACACACTAACATGGACTATTACACACACTAGTACGGACTATTACACACACTATTACACACACTAACATGGACTATTACACACACTATTACACACACTATCATGGACTATTACACACACATGGGCATGGACTATTACACACACTATCATGGACTATTACACACACTATCATGGACTATTACACACACTGGCATGGACTATTACACACACTACATGGACTATTATGGACTATTGCACACACACTATCATGGACTATTACACACACTATCATGGACTATTACACACACTGGCATGGACTATTACACACACTATTGCACACTGTCGCACACACGATTACACACTATTACACACTATCACACACAGTACTACACACTATTAAACACTATTGCACACTGTCACACACACAATTACACACTGTTATGCACTGTCACACACTATCATGAACTATTATACACACTGGCATGGACTATTACACACACTATCATGGACTATTGCACACACTATCATGGACTATTACACACACTATCATGGACTATTACACACACTATCATGGACTATTACACACACTAACATGGACTATTACACACACTGGCATGGACTATTGCACACACTATCATGGACTATTACACACACTGGCATGGACTATTACACACACTATTGCACACTGTCGCACACACGATTACACACTATTACACACACTATTACACACTATCACACACAGTACTACACACTATTAAACACTATTGCACACTGTCACACACACAATTACACACTGTTATGCACTGTCACACACTATCATGAACTATTACAGACACTGGCATGGACTATTACACACACACTATCATGGACTATTACACACACTATCATGGACTATTACACACACTATCATGGACTATTACACACACTAACATGGACTATTACACACACTGGCATGGACTATTACACACACTATCATGGACTATTACACACACTATCATGGACTATTGCACACACTATCATGGACTATTACACACACTATCATGGACTATTACACACACTATCATGGACTATTACACACACTGGCATGGACTATTACACACACTATCATGGACTATTACACACACTATCATGGACTATTACACACACTATCATGGACTATTGCACACACTATCATGGACTATTACACACACTATCATGGACTATTACACACACTGGCATGGACTATTACACACACACATGCATGGACTATTACACACACTATCATGGACTATTGCACACACTATACTATTACACACACTATCATGGACTATTACACACACTGGCATGGACTATTACACACACTATATTACACACTATTATACACTATTACACACTATCATGGACTATTACACACTATTACACACACTGTCACACACTATCATGGACTATTACACACACTGGCATGGACAATTACACACACTGGCATGGACAATTACACACACTAGCATGGACTATTACACACTACTACACACACTATTACACACTATTACATACTGTCACACACTCATGGACTACTACACACTATCACACACTGTCACACACACTGTCACACACTATAACACACTATTACACACTGTCACAGACTATCATGGACTATTACACACTATTACACACACTATTACACACACTATTACACACACTATCACACACTATTACACACTATCTGACACACACTATTACACACACACACACTATTACACACACACACTATTACACACTATTACACACTATTACACACACTATTACACACTATTACACACCACCACCAACACCGGGGACGGTTTTGAAGAGCTCACAGCGACTGAAACATAAACCATCTCCTCTGATATTGTCTTTAAAAACATCGCAAGAATTTAATTAATTTAATGTACAAAACTTTTGAATCAGCCTGACTTCACTTCCAGAAGTAGTTCTCAGAGTGTGGACGAGTGCAGGTCGGGTCTGTCTGCAGAGGAGCTGTTTAAAGGAGCTCTGATCAGGTTGGTATTGATCACACATTTGTGGTTTTCTTCCTCAGTTTGTTAGAGCCAAAAAAATCAACTCTCCAGTCTCCTCCACAAACAGGACCTCACAAAACACCCACTGTGTTTATATGTGTGTTTATATGTGTGTGTTTATATGTGTGTGTGTGTGTTTATATGTGTGTGTTTATATGTGTGTGTGTGTGTTTATGTGTGTGTGTGTGTGTGGACTGAACAGGACTGAACACGGACTAATCCAGGACTAAAGTCTTAGTCACAATAACCTGCATGGGCAGTTCACGGGCGATTTTTGGCCCGTTTTTTAGTCTGTACGGGGCTCGCAAGTGGCCCGTAGAAGAGTCCAAGTTCGTAGACACCCGGTGAGCCCGTAGGGAGGAAATGTTCATGCACATTTTTTAAGCACATATCTCACACTTACAGGGGAAATACGGGGCAAGTTAAAGTCACGCAGGTGTGTTGTACAGGTTTTTCTATTTTCTCAAGCCCCGAATTCCTGCGGCCCACACACGGGTCCCGGACGGACCAATTGCGTCGTTCCTACAGGTCACGTGCCTCGTGTGAGCTACCAGGGTCGCTCGATCTGTATAAAAGCTGATGCGATGCCCGTGCGGACACACACGAGTCGTAGCAGCCGTACTGTACACACCAAGTTTTCACCGATGAGATGCTGCCCAAAGGGAAGGAAAAGGACAAGAGGACGGGTGTGAAAGAATTTCTATGTTATTTTAAATATTATGAATCATTTAAAATCATAATCATTTGTGTGTGTGATTAAAGTTATCAACAATTGCGTTTTAGGGTTTTTCCATGTGTATATCATATGTCCTAGTACAAGAACTCCTGACTCATTAAGCTCATCTACTGAGTCGCCCATGAGAAGACAGCTAAGGGTTTTTTCCCTCATGTGGTTAGCATAAGTTTTTGGGAGAAAACTGGCCAAATTGTTTATCACCTGGAGCCTGTAATCAAGTGTGAAATGGGAGGGTGGTTTAGCCTAAAGATTGTTAGTATGTGATCATTGTAACCATTGTGTGATATAACATAATGTACTGTATTGTTATCTGTGAAATGACTTCAATAAAAGCTGCTGTTGGGAGGAGAGCTGCAGAGTACAGTAGAGTAGAGTACAGTGGAGTAGAGTAGAGTAGTAGAGAGTAGAGAGAGTAGAGAGTGGAGCGGAGCAGAGCAGCAGAGCAGAGCAGAGCAGAGCAGAGCAGAGCAGAGCAGAGTAGAGTAGAGTAGAGTAGAGTAGAGAGGCTCAGCCAGTGGTATTGACAGGCTCTGACAGCTCTCTCTCTCTCTCTCTCCTTATGCAAGTATTACTTTTAACTGTCTCGTTTTGGTGTGTCTTATTTAATGTAATTTGATGTCTTAGGGTAAATTCCCTGACAACGGGGAAGAGTCGTGACACCGAGGGCCTGGAGACTGCAGCAGGAGCAGGAGCCACAGCAGGTCCCCAGGCCGAGGAGGAGGAGCCTGTCAGAGAGCGAGACACTAGTGAGGCGCCAGTGGCAAAAAACTGTCGTTGTGTCCTTAGGCAAGACACTTCACCCACATTGCCTAGTATGAAAGAGGTGTGAGCGTGAGTGACGGTGGTGGTCGGAGGGGCCGATGGCGCAGATTGGCAGCCTCGCTTCCGTCAGTCTGCCCCAGGGCAGCTGTGGCTACAGTAGTAGTTTACACCACTGAGTGTGGAGTGACTGAATAATGAACTGTAAAGTGCTTTGGGGATCTTGAAAGGTGCTGTATAAATGCAATCAATCAATCACTCAATCACTAGTGGGGACAGCGACAGCGGCCACAGCGCGACGCTCACAGGGAAGTGTTGTAAGAGCGTCTTGGCATCGCCGCGGTCGAACGATGGATGAGCACGATGTGATGAAGCGGTGATGTTGAGCCCAGTGTTATACAGCACGGTGATAAGAGCCACATCTCGTAAGAGACTTGTACTTGCCTCGTACAAACGACTAGAGTGCGTCGCAAGTGGACCGTATGAGATTTTGACTCGTACGCGACTCTTACGTGGCACTTAAGTTTGACATACTATTGCCTCACAACAGTCTTAAGACCCACGACACTCACATGCCCCACTTTGCCAAAATTTCTCCCAAGGTCCCGTACGAGTCTCACGGGACCTACAAGCCAGAGTTACACCACCCTCACAAAGCACTTAGAAAACTCTCTCCTCTACAGAATACCACGGGCCAAGACATGTCAGCACCCGTACAGGGGAATTACTCTTGCGGGTTATTGTGACTAAGCCTTAAATCAGATCTAAATCAGGTCTAAACGAGGACTAAATGCTGAGTCGCTCCTTGTGCCCGTTGAACAGAAGGTCGCAGTTTGTGTTCACGCTGCATTTCCTGTTTTATTGTTGTTATTGTTTCAGAATCGTCATGGATCATATGAACTGTTTTTCTCTGAAGCGCTGCAGGTTTCAGCACAACGTCAGAAATAAACACAAAAATGTCGACGACGCAAACTCTGATTCTCATCACAAACACATAATAACATACGATCTACCATTTACCATCTGAAAGTGTTGAGTCAGACCCTCCTCCTCCTCTTTCTCTTTCCTCTCTCTCTTTCTCTTCTCTGGTCTCTGGGTCTCAGACAGAATAACCAATAAAAACGGTGGAAGCCTGAGGTCAAAAGTCGAGCTCTGGGAGAGGAAACGTGAATACAGATGTAAGAATCCACAGCACACTAAAAAAAAAACACAGCTCCACTTTGAAAAGACTGGAGATCTTCATTTGTTTTATTATTTTGAACTGACTTCATTTCAGTTTTGTCATTTTTTTCCAGTATTTGAGGTCAAAATAATTCCACTGTGTTCTGTCTGCATCTAATTAGGATCTAATTTTCAAGAAGGTGCACAGTTAGCATGCTAGTAGTTGTTAGTTATTTGTGTCTGATTCCTTAAAGTTGGGAAAAGTTTGTTTTTTGTTTTTATTTCGAGTTTGTGCTAAAAGAGAAATAATAATCATCCACATACTGCAAAACATCGTACAACAGAAAAACACTTTTCATGTTTCACGTTAAACTGTGATGCCGGAATAAACCTGGACTAAACCTGGACTAAACCAGGACCTAAACCAGGACTAAACCAGGACTAAACCAAAACCAGGACTAAACCAGGACTGAACCAGGACTAAACCTGGACTGAACCAGGACCTGGAAAACCTGGACTAAAACCAGGACTGAAAACCAGGACTAAACCAGGACTGAACCAGGACTAAACCTGACTGAACCAGGACTAAACCAGGACCAAAACCAGGACTAAACCTGGACTGGAAAACCAGGACTGAACCAGGACTAAACCAGACAAACCAGGACTGAACCAGGACTGGACTAAACCTGGACTGAACCAGGACAAGACTAACCAGGACTGAACCAGGACCAACTAAACCAGGACTGAACCAGGACTAAACCAGGACCAAACCGGGACTAAACCAGGACTGAACCAGGACTGAACCAGGACAAACCCGTTTTCAGTCCCAGTCTGGTCCAGGTCTCAATCATGGTCTCAGTCCCGGTCTCAGTCCCAGTCTGGTTCTGGTCTGGTCCCAGACCTGGTTCAGACCTGGTTCAGTCCATTATCCAGAATCGAAAACTGAAAAAACAAATCATTATCTTTTTTTTTTTTTTCATTTTGGTTTTGGAGACAAATAATGAAGAAAATTGTTGTTGTTTTTTTTGTTTTTTTTCATTTTCTTATTTTTGGTTTTATTTTGAAAAACAAATGAACGAACGACACATGGATTTCCAAGACCAGTTTTATCAGTATCGTATCAGATAATTTTAAAAAATCCACATCAGTCGGGCCTTTAACTCTTCATCTTTGTTATTTGCAGCAGATGTGAGTCTCCAGGTGAAATCATCTCAGACAAACACAATCCAACAGAAGTTAAAAGAGCAGAAGTGTTGTAGAAGTGACCTGTAAAAACTCCTCACGGACGCTCAGATCAATAAATAAAGACGATAAACGCAGAGAGCCACACTGTTGCTCTCAGGCTCTTCGCTCTTATTGCTTTTTACAGTGCAGCTGCTTCTCTCCGCTCCAAAAATAAAACAAAACTCCTCCCGACCGTGAAGAATCTGAGCCCTCGGGAAACAAGAGAGTGTGAGCCGCCCCATCCTTCAAAACGTGATCTGAGCCGTAAGTCACCTGAGAGCCGAAGAGCCGAAGAGCCGAGAGAGACGAAGAGCCGAGGGAGAGCCAAGGGAGAGTCGAGAGAGAGACGAGAGAGAGACGAGGGAGAGAGAGACGAGAGAGACAAGAGAGAGAGACGAAGAGCCAAGGGAGAGCCGAGGGAGAGTCGAGAGAGAGAGACGAGGGAGAGAGAGGCGAGAGAGAGAGACGAGAGAGAGAGACGGAGAGCTGAGAGAGAGTCGAGAGAGACAAGAGAGAGACGAGAGAGAGGCGAGAGAGAGACGAGAGAGAGAGACGAGAGAGACGAGAGACGAGAGAGAGACGAGAGAGAGGAGAGAGAGGCGAGAGAGAGGCGAGAGAGAGACGAGAGAGAGACGAGAGAGAGAGAGAGAGAGACGAGAGAGAGACGAGAGAGAGAGACGAGAGAGAGGCGAGAGAGAGGCGAGGGAGAGTCGAGAGAGAGCCGAGAGAGACGAAGAGAGAGAGAGAGACGAGAGAGAGACGAAGGGAGAGCGAGGGAGAGTCGAGAGAGAGACGAGGGAGAGAGAGAGGCGAGAGAGAGACGAGAGAGAGAGACGGAGAGCCGAGGGAGAGTCGAGAGAGAGACAAGAGAGAGACAAGAGAGAGAGACGAGAGAGAGACGAGAGAGAGACGAGAGAGACAAGAGAGAGACGAGGGAGAGTCGAGAGAGAGACAAGAGAGAGAGAGAGAGACAAGGGAGAGTCGAGAGAGAGACAAAGAGCCAAGGGAGAGTCGAGAGAGAGACGAGAGAGAGACGAGGAGAGAGGCGAGAGAGACAAGAGAGAGAGACAAGAGCCAAGGGAGAGCCGAGGGAGAGTCGAGAGAGAGACGAGGGAGAGTCGAGAGAGAGGAGAGAGAGACGAGCTGAGAGAGAGACGAGGGAGAGCCGAGAGAGAGACGAGAGAGAGACGAGAGAGAGACGAGGGAGAGCCGAGGGAGAGTCGAGAGAGAGATGAGGGAGAGTCGAGGGAGAGTCGAGGGAGAGTCGAGAGAGAGTCGAGAGAGTCGAGAGAGAGCCGAGGGAGAGCCGAGAGAGAGACGAGAGAGAGCCAAGGGAGAGACGAGAGCGAGAGAGTCGAGAGAGAGTCGAGAG